TGAACCTCCATTTCCCAAGGCAGGACTTTGCCTTCTCTCAGACTGGAGCTCCATGAACACCTGGTGACAGAGAGGAAACATGACTTGGGGTGTCCACACCCAGTACCTAGAAGATATTGTGCCTTAAGCAACATAAAACGTGTTCACTCCCCTAACCGGAATTGGCCCGGAAATGAATAAACACCCAGTGAAAACCATGGCATGGATCCAGTGTTTAATGGTCAATATGGCTAATGATTGTCATGAAGGAGCCAGGCACTGGCGGCTTATGTCTATAATCCTAGCTACTTAGGAAACTGAGCTCTTGGGGATTGTGGTTCAAAGCCAGCCTGGGGCAGAAAAGTCCTCTGAAACCCTTACCACCCATAAACTACCAAAAAGCTGGGGGCTCAAATGGTAAAGAGCTAGTCTTGAGGAGAAAGAAAGAAAAAGAGAGAGAGAAAGATTGAGAGAGAGAAAGGAAGGAAGGAAGGAAGGAAGGAAGGAAGGAAGGAAGGAAGGAAGGAAGGAAGGAAGGAAGGAAGGAAGGAAAGAAGGAAGGAAGGGCTGAGGGACAGTGCCCAGGTCCTGAGTTCAAGCCCTAGAATCAGCACAAACCAAAACAAATGCAAGGCAAAACAACCTCCACCTGGAGTCCATACCAGGGTTTTCATGAACCTGTTACTGTCCCCAAATGTTTGGAGAGTTGCTGGAGATTAGGAAAATACTTCACACATCCATCTGGATCCTCTAGTTCACTCCATTTGGCCCCAAAGTGGGTGGGGGAGTATTGTAGCCATCAGCTGGTTCTCCGCTGCCACCGTGTGGCTGTAATGGTCACTGTCCCTTCTCCTTGTCCCGCTCCATTTGTTGGCTTTACAAAAGTAGTTAAGGTCAGCCTGGGGTTAAAAGCATGGCGTGGTTGGTAGAGCACTGGCCAATGAACAAAAGCATCAGGTAGCAAATTCAAGTCCCATTCTCAGACCAAAAAAAAAAAAAAAAGAAGGTAAGCTAATATGGTCTCTTGCAGTATACAAGTCTTGCTCCAGCCCAAGGTAAACTCAACATAGGTATATGGCTTATGACCTGTCCAACTACCCAGACATCTTTTCACCATGAAGGAATGTTAACTTGCCTCTCTTTCTTGGGCTCTGGGTCTCTCTGAATAGTGGTCCAAAGGACTAGGCCTAGCCTTTCTCCAACCTAGAGATCACATTACCAGCAGCAGAGGTTTCTTTCCCACTGCAATATGATCATCTCACATTGCAGCTTTAAGTGAAACCCTTCTGCCACATTTTTTTTTTTGTCAGTCATGGAGCTTGAACTCTGGGCCTGGGCGCTGTCCCTGAGCTCTTCAGCTCAAGGCAAGCACTCTACCACTAGAGCCACAGCACCACTTCCGGTTTTCTGGTGGTTAATTGGAGATAAGAGTCTCACTGACTTTCCTGCCCTATCTGGCTTTGAACTGTGATCCTCAGATCTCGGCCTCCTGAGTAACTAGGATTACAGGTGTGAGCCACTGGCACCTGGCTCTGATACTTTTTTTTTTTTTTGGTCAGTAATGGGGCCTGAACTCTGGGCCTGGGCTCTGTCCCTCAGCTCTTCAGCTCAAGGCTAGCACTCTACCACTTGAGCCACAGCTCCACTGCCAGCTTTTTCTGCTTATGTGGTACTGAGAAATCAAACCCAGGGCCTCATGGCCACCTTCCCAGTCCTCTGCCACGTTTTTTTTTGTCGGTCATGGGGCTTGAACTCTGGGCCTGGGCGCTGTCCCTCAGCTCTTCAGCTCAAGGCGAGCGCTCTACCACTTGAGCTACAGCGCCACTTCCGGTTTTCTGGTGGTTTACTGGAGATAGGAGTCTCACAGTCTCTCCTGCCCGGGCTGGCTTTGAACCGCAATCCTCAGATCTCAGCCTCCTGAGTAGCTAGGATTACAGGTGTGAGCCACCAGCGCCCGGCTCTGCCACATTTTTATCTGGAAGAATCTATAGATTCTTCTAGCTTCATTGTGGAACATATCAGGTTCTTTACTACCAGGTCCTTCACACTAGGTCCTTATCTTTATACATACGGGTTCTTCAGCTAGGAATACCTTCTCTATTTGCCGGCTCTCTATAGATAGGCCACAAATTCCAAAGTGCCTATTTTCTGAGATCCATATACTAAATGCTGTGATAAGTATGACACTTATCACTTATTCTGTGACTCTGTGTGTGTGTGTGTGTGTGTGTTTTAGTCCTGGGACTTGAACTCAGAGCCTGGGTACTGTCCCTGAGCTTTTGTGCTCAAAGCAAATACTCTCTCTATATACATATATCACTTGAACCAGAGCTCCACTTCTAGACTGCCTGGGGGGCTGGCTTCCAACAACAATCCTCAAATCTCAGCTTTTTAGTAGTTAGAATTAGTGAGTCACTAGTATCCAGTGGCACATGTGTGTGAGTCGTGGGTCTGGAATTCAGAGCCTGGGTACTGTCCCTGAGCTTTTCTGATTAAGGCTAGCACTCTACCACTTTGGGACACAGCGCCACTTCCGATTTTCTGGTGGTTCATTGGAGATAAGAGTCTCACATACTTTCCTGCTCACACTGGCTTCAAACCACAATCCTCAGATCTCAGCCTCCTGAGTAGCTAGGATTACAGGCGTGAGCCACTAGCACCTGGCAACACTTTTTTTTTTCTGTCAGTCATGGGGCCTGAACTCTAGGCTGGGTGCTGTCCCTTAGCTCTTCAGCTCAAGGCTAGCACTCTACCACTTGAACCACAGTAACCACAGTGCCACTTTCAGTTTTTCCTGTTTATATGATAATGAGGAATCGAACCCTAGGCCTCATGCATACAAGGCAAGCAACTCTACCACTGAGCTACCTTCCCAGCCCCAACACTTTTTTTTTTTTTGGCCAGTCTTGGAGCTTGAGCCATAGCATCACTTCTGGCTGTTTCTGATTATGTGGTACTACAGAATCAAACCAGGACTTCAGCCGGGCGCTGGTGGCTCACGCCTGTAATCCTAGCTACTCAGGAGGCTGAGATCTGAGGATCGCGGTTCAAAGCCAGCCCGGGCAGGAGAGACCGTGAGACTCCTATCTCCAATAAACCACCAGAAAACCGGAAGTGGCGCTGTAGCTCAAGTGGTAGAGCGCTCGCCTTGAGCTGAAGAGCTGAGGGACAGCGCCCAGGCCCAGAGTTCAAGCCCCATGGCCGACAAAAAAAAAAAAAAAAAACCAGGACTTCATGCATGCTAGGCAAGCACTCTACCACTAAGCCACACTCCCAAGTCCCACTTATTCTTTTTTTTGACAGTTATGGGGCTTGAACTCTGGGCCTCGGCGCTGTCCCTGAGCTCTTCAACTCAGGTGCGTGCTGTACCACTTGAGCCACAGCACCACTTCCGGTTAATTGGAGATAAGGGTCTCATGGACTTTCCTGCCCATGCTGGCTTCGAACCATGATCCTCAGATCTCAGCTTCCTGAGTAGCTAGGATTACAGGAATGAGTCACAGACACCTGGTTCCACTTATTCTTATTTAGATGCTTAAGTACAGAAAAGGGTAATAGGGGTAATAACCACCAGAAGTGCTTAGAGCTGATAATTGTCTGGAACACCCCCCAAGAGCAAGGAGAGGGACAGGAACCACAAAATAGAAAGTCCCAGGCATGTGTGCAGATTGAGCAGCACCCAGTAAGCCTGTAGTTGCTCCCAGGGGCTTTGGAATCTAGGCTGATAATCTGCTGCCAGGTTAACTCTAATGGGATCTAGTTTGATACCAATGACAGAGGTTATGGCTGCTATTTGCTGGGCTAGTAAGTACAATTGTCCCAGTGCACTCTTGACCCATGCTACCCATACAGAGACTCATTCTCCAACATGAGTTGGTTTTAGCTGCAGAAAATTGTGGCCCAGCTCTTAAGAGACTGCATGAGAGTGATTCTAACAATCTGAAGACACTTCATGGCCAATTTTCTCTCTAGACCTTCTACTCCCTTGATGGTTAAGTTGTAGCAGGACCAGGAGAGCCTCCAGCAACAAGGTAAAGGCCTTTTCTGTACTATGCCCTGGGCTTTTCCCAAAGGTGTCAAGGTAGAGTGAATGGAATTGAGCCTTCACTGCTGAGACTTATGGGATCTCCAAGGTGCCTCATTGCAGGTATGGCCAGGAAAGCTAGGGAACAAGGTGTCAGAGGAAAGCCCAGGGCACCTAGTGGGCACCAGCCCTTATGAAGATAGATCTACAGTTAGAGGCCTTGTGGTTCTCCTCTCAGACCCTGTAGCTTATTCCTGGTGGCCATCTTGACCAGTGTGTTTGTTCACTATTAGGGGAACTGAGGCACACAAGCCTAAAGAGGGATTGTATCTCCAGAGGTGTATGGCGGCAGGGAAACCGACTCTGAATTTATTTGTGCTAGACACTGAGTTTCTTGCTAAGGGCTCCCATCTACTCCACTTTGATCATCCTGGTTTTTTCAGTTCAACCTATACTGAATTACAGCAGTCCACTAAGCAGAGACACAGCTAGAACACTGATGGTTGGATGGTCCCTCAAGGCATACAATTGGGGGCCCCCACCCAGAAGTGAAAAGGAGAGGCAGGGACCAGAGCAGACTGAAAATGGAGGAAGGAAGGTAAGGGTAATACAGTAGGATACCTGAGAATCCTTTCCACATGGCAGGACTTCAGCTGAACCAAAACAGCCCAGGCCAGATTCCAAGTCTGAATGTGTGTGGCCTGATGCAGGGCCGGGAATGTGGCTTAGTGGTAGAGTACTTGCCTAGCATGCGCAAAGCCCTGGGTTTGATTCCTCAGTACCACCTAAACAGAAAAAGTCAAAGGTGGCACTGTGGCTCAAGTGATAGTGTTAGCCTTGAGCAAAAATAAGCTCCGAGACAGTGCCCAGGTACTGAGTTCAAACCCCAGGACTGGAAGAAGAAGAAGAAGAAAAAAGAGTGCATTCCTGTATGTAAGAAGGAGAAGGATCTGGTGTCTCTATATGAGTGATAGGTGAAAGAACCAGTGACAGAGTATCTTTACCAAAGCATTTTAATGAATACACCAACCCACAGTCCCTGCCTGCTGGCTGGGTAGGAGAAGCCAGCCCCACCTGGAGGCTCCCATGGCTTCCCATGATGCAGAATGGGCCTGGGAGGGCTGAGTCTGCACACCACTCCCATCAATAGGTGAGGGGTGTGAGGATGAAGAGACGGTCTTCCTCTTTACGGATCCAGCGCATCAGTTTATGAATGGCATTGACAGCTGATGCCTTGGTTCCCAGGGGGCTGTAGCAGATGTAGAGCTCAAAGGCACCTGTCACCTGAAGGGGGGGGCAAAGGGTGGTCATCTAGGATAGATGCCCCTGGTAGCTCCATACCCATGACCTTTTTATCGAAGCCCAGTCGTTTCAAGGCCACCTTACCCAGGCAAGGAGATTCTCGTTGGGGCCTGTGTAGTAGATGGTCTTGAGTGGGCGGGAGGCATTGTGGGCTCGGCTGTGCAAGTACTGGTAGAGGCCCAGCAACCGTTCCTGCTCCTCTTCGCTGGTATACGGCGCCTCAATCTCAGGACTGCAGATATGGGGGTGGGTTTGCAAAGGAATGATTTCCCTTGCCTTCTCAGGAGATCTAGAAATACCTGCTCCTACCCAGGGAGATTCTACCACAAGTCCCATTTTTCCAGATTCTCCTCTAGGATGGGGGGGACGGGGACTGTCTTCTTACCACAGAAAGACTTCCCAGGACAGACTGAAGCCCTGCCCCCCAACAACACCTTAATTTCATGGTGTTTGGTGACACTTCTTTGGAGAGACCAATCTGAATTGAGGTGTCCAAAACACAAAGTGACAGGGTTTTTTTTTTGTTTTGTTTTGATTTGTTTTTGCCAGTCCTGGGCCTTGAACTCAGGGCCTGGGCACTGTCCCCAAGCTTCTTTTACTCAAGGCTAGGACTCTACCACTTGAGCCACAGCACCACTTCTGGCTTTTTCTGTTTGTGTGGTACTGAGGAATCAAACTCAGGGCTTCATGCATGCTAGGCAAGCACTCTACCATTAACCACCTTCCCAGCCCCAAAGTGACAGGTTTTGAGGAAAGGTGAGATGGGAAAACCCCTAGGCCTAAAAGGAAATCAAGCAAGGCTAGAGCTTGCCCTCTCTGTCCAGCCCTTCCCTTAAGGGAGTGGTAGGGCGTGGGCTATGCATTGTGGAATGGACTGCAATGATCTTGCAAGTCAAGAGTTGCTCCAAGGTAAGGGAGCTGAGAGACCTCTGCTCCAGCTTTCTTCCCTAGGTTATATTAGTCATTTCCTGGCCTTACAAGTAATGAAGTGGGTGATGAGATGTCTGGGTCCCTGGGGTCAAAGTAAATAAGCCCCAGCATGTTGGTCCACTCCTGGTTGGTTTGTTTGGTTTTGGTGGGGAGGAGATCAGCTTCAAGGCTGTCTCCCAGGGTTCAAGACCAACCAACCTCCCCATCCCTACCCACCTTCCCACATCCTGTCTCCTCGAAGCAGTACCTCCCTCACCTGGTGAAGAGTCCCGAGCTCTTTGACTTATAGAGGAAGTGGCGGAGGTCAGGGATGCCCACTTGGGCCACGCTGTAGTAGGGCGTGCGCAGCGCCTCCCGCAGTGCCAGGTGGGCTCCTCGCTTCCGAAGGCGCTCCAGGAAGCGGCGTCGACAGTCAGAGACAGCAAAGAAGTCCTCGCGGTCAGTGGAGACGAGCAGCAGGCAGAGGTCCGTGTCGGGCTCCAGGTATGAGATGTGCGCGTGGAAGAAGCCGGCCGAGTTGAATTTGGGCAGGCACACTGGCGTCCAGGCCTCGCCTTCCCGGAAAGACGAGGAGGAACTAATGAGGTTGAAGAGCAGGTGCAGGTCGATGGGATGGAGGAATTGGTCCTTGCGGCGCACGAGCGCCACCAGCTGGTTGCGGGCCAGCAGGATGGAGAAAACCAGGCTGCGCGCGCGCGCCTGCTGCAGGCTGGCACTCACCGCGTCGCGCACCGCCGCTGCTAGGGGGAGACAGCGCGCGGCCCCCATCAGGAAGCTGGGGTCTCGGGCCATGAGCTGCAACAGGTTGTCGGTGATGCGCTCCGAGCCGGAGAGCAGGCGCCGCAGATCGTAGTTCTGCTTCTGCTGGAAAATGTGGTTCAGCTGCGCCCCAGTAAGAAGGCTCAGGATCTGGTAGTAGATGTAGAGCAGCTCCTGCGCCAGCTCCTGGGCAGACTGCCGCGTGCGTGCCACTGTCACCAGCACCAAGGGGCTTCGGCGCACAAATACTACCTTGTAGCCATCTGAGGGTTAGCGGGAGGGTGTCAGCCTCGGTTCCTCTCCCAGGAGCCCTCCCAGATCGACCGTTCCCAGCCTGGCACATCACACAAGCCTTTCCTTGCTCTGAGCTCTGCCCTCAGTAGCAAGGGTATTAAGGGCAATGACGATTAAAAAACAATAACGCAGGGCTGGGCAGGTGACTCAGTGGCAGCGCGCTTGCCTTGCATGCGGGAGGCCCTGGGTTCGATTCCTCAGCACCACAGAAGCAGAAAAAGGCCAGAAGTGGCGCTGTGGCTCAAGTGGTAGAGCGCTCGCCTGGAGCTGAGGAGCTAAGGGACAGCGCCCAGGCCCAGAGTTCAGGCCCCACGACTGGCATTACACACACACTTTCCTGCCACTTGCTCTACAGACTGACTTCTACAGAAACAAGAAGCGCCTCATTTAAAAAAAAAAAATCTGTTTTCCCCCTTTGGTGGTACTGGTATATAGAACATTCAGGGCCTCATACTTGCTAGGCAAGCCCTTTACCACTTAAGCCCTGTCCCCCAGTCCTTTTTGCTTTGATTTTTCAAATAGGATCTTGCTTTTATTGGGGCAGTCTGAATACCATCCTCCTATTTATGTTTCCAGAAGTAGCTAGGATGAAGGGTGTGTTCCACTGCGCACAGCTTTTTCTTTAAAAAAAAAAAAAAAAATCCATCCTGCCAGTACTGTGGCTTGAACAGGTTTTTGTTTTTGTTTTCTGTTGTGGGGCTTGAACTCTGGGCCTGGGTACTGTCCCTCAGCTCTTCAGCTCAAGGATAGTGCTCTACCACTAGCCTCTGCACCACTTCCAGTTTTCTGGTGATTTAATGGAGGTAAGAGTCTCACAGACTTTCCTGCCTGGGCTGGCTTTGAACCATGATCCTCAGATCTCAACCTCCTGAGTAGCTAGGATTACAGGTGTGAGCCACCACCCCCAGCTGAACTCAGGTTCTTAAGCTCTCACTTGGCTCTTCGGCTCAAAGCTGGCACTCTACTACTTGAGTCACGCCTCCACTTTTGGATTTTTTTTTCCCCTTGGTTAACTGGAGATAAGAAAGAGCCTCTCAGAGTTGTCTACTTGGGCAGGCTTTGAACCTTGATCCACTTGAGTAGCTAGGATTATAGGTATGAACCACTGGGTTCCCAGCTGCATCTAGCTTTCTACTGGTTGAGATGGGGGGGTAAGGGGGGAGGTCTCTTGAACTTTTTGTCAGGGCTAGCCTAGAACTGTGATCTTCCAAATCTTAGCCCTCCTGAGTAATAGCTGGGATTATAGGCATAAGCCACTACATCCGGCTAGAAAAACACATTAAAAAAAAAAAGTTTTAGCACAGGTTTATTTTAGCACAACACGGTTAATGTAGGGAGAAAAAGAGAAGCATTTCCTGCTGCCCACACAGGAAATAGTAGAAAAACACACATTCTTGTGGTAAGTGCTAACTTACCTAGTGAGTAGAAGCTAACGGTTTGTTGTCACTTCCCCAATTCACCTTTTCCAAATGGCAAAACTCATGTAAGAGCTCTCTTTATTCCTCACCACAGCCCCACAAAGGCCAGCAGTGTTAGCCTGTGTCCAGATGAATGAAGACCTTGAGGCTCAGAGAGGTGGAGGGACTTACCCTCCGTGACACAGCACAGCTGATCTGATACAGCCCTCTAGTCTGTGGAGATGCAAAAACCCTGTTATAAATGCGCTCCCACCAACCTCTTCAGCTCGCTCACCTGCATGGATGGAACGGATAGCATTCTTGTCTGCCTCCAGGAAGGATACCAGGGCCACCATGACACCCATGGTGCTGGAAAGCGCCTCCTCCGACCCGTAGCGGGAGTAGACGGGCTTTCCTGCCTCGCTCAGCACAAAGACGTGCTTCTGGTGCAGCCGCCATGCCTCTGGGGCTTCCTCCTCGTCTCCCTCGGTGGGGCCCTCCTTGGAGGGCTCCACGGCTTGTCGCCCAGCTGCCCCTGGGGGCTCCAGCCAGTCCTCGGAACTTCCAGGCAGCATCTCCTCCTGCAGGTCACGAGCTACACCAGTCAGCTGGGTGCTTAGTTCACTAAAGTCCTGGCTGATTTGGCGCATGTCTGTAGGCAGTGGGGGAGGCCCCGCAGCACCCTCCTGGGGGCTGTCTCCAGAAGCCGCCCCATCTTCAGTCTCTGTCAGGTCTTCGTAAGAACGGGCATGGACGAACATGGCACCCTCCTGCCCAGCACCTGCAGGCCAAAAAGCACTGGTAATTGGAGGCATAGCTACTGGCAGACATATTCACCATGCTCTAGTATGACTGCCTGTCCTTTTTCCATCTCCTCCCTCCCACCATACTGAGAGGAAAACCTAGCCCCCTATGGCAGCAGTGGTAGCAGGATCTGCCTCTCTCTCCCAGCCCTATCATACAGCCCATCTCTGGGCCTGGGCGTGTCCCTCAGCTCTTCAGCTCAAGGCTAGCACTCTATCACTTGAGCCACAGTGCCACTTCTGGCTTTTTCTGCTTATGTGATGCTGAGGAATCACACCCAGAGCCTCCTGCATGCAAGGCAAGCGCTCTCCCACTGAGTCACCTTTCCAACCCTGTCTTTTATAGAAACCTACACTATGTCCTCACCTGCCTCAGGAGATCTGCACTTGCCATCTGCCTGGAAGGAACTCCTTCCTCCCCATGACGGTGACAGCTTTTTTAGCTACTTCTTCTTGATCTCCAACCTAAGGCACCCTATCATAGCTCTCCTGGGTTCTCTGAAGCCATTGCCTAGTTATTATCCTCTCCAATCACAGTGATGTCCCCCAAAGACAAGAGTTTTGACTTTCTTGTGCTCAAAGAGCTCACAATCTTATGGAAGAAAGAGCTGGGCAATACAGAGGTAAAGAAAAAAAGATTGCCAGGTGCTGTTGGCTCATGCTTGTAATCCTAGCTACTCAGAAGGCTGAGATCTGAGGATCGAGGTTCAAACCCAGCCCAGGCAAGAAAGTCTATGAGACTCTTATCTCCAATAAACCACCAGAAAACCAGAAGTGGCTCTGTGGCTCACATGGTAGAGTGCTCGCCTTGAATTGAAGAGCTGAGGGACAGCGCCCAAAAGTCAAGAGTTCAAGACCCACAACTGACATAAATAAATAGATAGATAGACAGATAAATAGATAAATAATCAGGCTGGTTGGTGGTGGCTCATGCCTGTAATCCTAACTACTCAGAAGGCTGAAATCTGAAGATCATGGTTCAGCGCCAGCTTAGGCAGGAAAGTTCATTAGACTCTTATCTCCAATTAAACATCAAAAAAGCTGGAAGTGGAGCTGTGGCTTAAGTAATAGAGCCCTAATCTTGAGTAGAAAAGCTAAGGGACAGCACCCAGACCCTGAGTTCAACTCCCAGGACTGGCATTAAAAAAAAAAAAAAAGAAAGAAAGAAAGCTGGGCACCAGTGGATCACAGTTCAAAGCCAGCTGGGGCAGGAATGTCAATGAGACTCTTATCTCCAATTAACCACCAGAAAACCAGAAGTAGCACTGTGGCTCAAATGGTAGAGTGCTTGCCTTGAGCTGAAGAGCTCAGGGACAGTGTCTAGGCCCAGAGTTCAAGCCCCACGACCACCAACAACAAAAAAAAAAAAAAAGAAAGAAAGAAAGAAAAGAAACAGAAAGCAGGCCAGAAGCACATTGACCCTGGCTCCCTGTAGTATTCCCAACATCTGACAAATACCTAGTGAGTGATTGAATTGTTACATGAATGAATATGAATACCTATTGCTCCAGGAGGCTGCCTATTCCAGCTGTGAGCTAGTTAGAGCTGTGTACTCTGCCCATACCTGGCTCCGTCCCCTGGGCCAGTCCTGGTGTAGGGCTCTCAGCTCTCTCCACACAGTGTCCATCAGAAGGAGCCAATGTGCCCTCAGGGCATTCACTGCTTCTCTTCCTTGGCAAGTCCGAGGCCATCCTTAGGGTTCTCCCTGGAGTAAAAATGACATCAGAGAAGAAGATACAATTGGCAAAGTCACTGGCATAATTAATACTGCTTAGCTTTAGCTAGGGGTAATGATATATGCCTGTGATTCCAGCAGTTAGGAGACGAGGTAGGAGAATCACAAGTTCTAGGGTAGAATGGACTACATAATAAAAAAACCAAGCTGGGAGCCATGCCTGTAATCCTAGCTACTCAGGAGGCTGAGATCTGAGGTTCGAGGTTCAAGGCCAGCCTACGAAGGAACGTCCATGAGACTCTTATCTCCTATTAACCACCAGAATACTGGAGGTGGCGCTGTAGCTCAAGTGGTAGAGCATTCACCTTGAGCTGAAACGCTGAGGGAGAGCGCCCAGGCCCAGAGTTCAAGCCCCACGACTGACAAAAAAAAACAACAAAACAAACAAACAAAAGAATCTGAGTTCAAATCCTAGTGTCATAAAAAAAAAAAAGTCAGTTCTTCCTGGGTACTCAGGGCTTCACTCAGAATACTCTCCATCCTTTATATCTTATATCTTTTTTTTTTTTTTTTTTTTTTGTCGGTCGTGGGGCTTGAACTCTGGGCCTGGGCACTGTCCCTCAGCTCTTCAGCTCAAGGTGAGTACTCTACCACTTGAGCTACAGCGCCACTTCCAGTTTTCTGGTGGTTTATTGGAGATAGGAGTCTCACGGTCTTTCCTGCCCGGGCTGGCTTTGAACCGCGATCCTCAGATCTCAGCCTCCTGAGTAGCTAGGATTACAGGCGTGAGCCACCAGCGCCCAGCATCTTTTTTTTTTTCTTCTGTTGGTCTGGGGCTTGAACTTGGATCCTGGGCACTGTCCCTGAGTTCTTTTGCTTAAGGCTAGCACTCTAACACTTTGAGCTAAAGTGCTACTTCTGGTTTTCTGGTGGTTAGTTGGAGGTAAGAGTCTCTCCTGGTCTCCCTGATATGTGGATGTTAAATTCAAAATGCAAGGAGATATGACAAAGTAAACAGGACTCAAGAAACAAAGGACCTCCACTCAATTTGTCCTATCATTTCTAAATGACTCCATGTTCTTGATCACATATATGGTGTATATATATATATATATATATATATATATATATATATATATATATATATGCGCACATCTGAGGAAGCTAGGAGGAGGGCACAGAATCAGAGGGAATCGGGGGAAAATATACAACAGAGGGGCCCATCAGCTGCATTGGACATTGATGAAAATGAACTAAGCAACTCAAAGGCAGTGATGGGAGGGAGGGAATGGGAATGGGAGGGAAAGAGGGAACAGCTAACACTAAGCAAAAGGAAAGAAATATACATATCACCTGATGTGGAAGAAATAGTTGTATTGTCAAAACTCATAAAATTAACAAACATTATAGACCATGATAATGACAATTTGCCTTGTGAAGGTTAAAATGTGTTTGTGAGTTTAACTAAGTAGCACAATCTTATGAAATTTGTGAAATTTATATAATCACTTAATTTCAATAAAAATTATTTAAAAAAAAAAAAAAAAGAGTCTCACAGACTTTCCTACTCAAGCTGGCTTTGAAGCACAATCCTCAGATCTTGGCCTCCTGAGTCGCTAGCATTACAGTATGAGCCATTAGAACTTGGCTTATTTCTTTTTCTTTTTCTTTTTTTTTGTCGGTCATGGGGCCTGAACTCTGGGCCTGGGCCCTGTCCCTCAGCAATTCAATTCAAGGCTAGCACTCTACTAACTTGATCCACAGCACCACTTCTGGCTTTTTCTGTTTATGTGGTGCTGAGGAATTGGAACCCAGGGCCTCATGCATGCAAGGCAAACACTCTACCACTAAGCCACTTTCCCAGACACCTTATCAGACAGTAATATCTCTACTTACCTGGTTTTATTTCTTTTGACTAAAGGTCACCTGTGGCCGGCTACAAATTTTAGATCCTATGTAGGAGTTTAGTCAACATTTGCCAGAGAGCCAGATAAGTATCTTAGAAGGGAAAGTGAAAGATCTGTAATGGGTTGTCTAGTTCCAGCATACCTACCTTCAATGAAGCAAGACAGCCCTGCCTGAGGAAAAGATTTGTCTTTGGTAGTAATCAGGAACAATACCTCTGCATTTAAAGGGACCTACTTTTAGTGGTCCAAGTTTTCTCACCTACAAAATGGTAAGAAAGGGGCTGGGAATGTGGCTCAGTGGTTGCGTGTTTGCCTAGCATGCATGAAGCCCTGGGTTCAATTCCACAGTGCCACATAAACAGAAAAAAGCCAGAAGTGGCGCTGTGGCTCAAGTAAGTAGATTGCTAGCCTTGAGCAAAAAAAGCTCAGGGACAGACCCCAGGTTCTCAGTTAAAGCTCTATGACTGGCAAAAAAAAAAAAAAAAGGAAGGAATCAATACCTTGAAAATAGCCATTTATTGAGTTGTAAGATTAAATAAGACAAGTAATGTGGTTACAGAGTAGGCAGTTACTAGTTGCTGTTACTAGTTTTCTTTTGATTATTTTTTGGGGATTTTTTTTTTTTTTTTTGCTATATAGCCCAGATAGACCTCTAAGTTATAATCCTCCTGCCTTAGCCTCCTAAATGCCACATCACCAGGCCTAACACTATTCTTACTTTGCCTATAGACTACAGTAACACAAAAACCCTGTGGTCTTTGTTATGAAAGTCACTCCTATGAGAATTTGCTTAGCTTGGGCCAAGCCTTTGGTGAATAGCCTGGGGCAAACATACTTCTACCTTAGAGAGGCTCAGTAACTAGCTGCTGCCACCTACATCAGGCAAGAAAGTCATCCATGGGCTTCAGGCTCACAGATCCAAACTGGATCACTAGCTTTCTGCTGGTTCTGGAAGTCTCTATCAGGCTTAACTCCTTGGTCTACAAAATGCCCCAGGCTTCAAGCCTTACACTCTAATTCAAAGATCTAAACAAGGTTTGGATCTTTGGTTTGTTATAGCAGCTTTGCCCTAACTTGAAGACCCCCCTCCCTTAGGATCACTTGTGGGCTTCAGCTACCTGAGCCCAGTGTGTTTGTGTGTTCCCAGCACAATACCTGCAACGGGAAAAAGCAGCAGATGCACAGGGCTAGCAGACTGCTTCTTTCAAAACAGTTTCCCTGCCATGTGAGGTTACCTAACACCTCAGCCTCTCCAAGGTCAGTCTGAGATTCCTGCCAGAAAGTCTGATGAGGTGAACAGCTTTCTGGATTTCTCCTGGAAACTCAGGCAGAAAGGTTGAGAGAATCCCAGCAAAATTCCACCCAACTTACACTGGACACATGACCTGTACAAGCTGAAGCTCCAGAAAAGCTACTCAAAGGGAGATCTCTGAAAACTAGCCCATAAGCTTCAGAGAGGACTCTTTTCAGGCAGCCCCTCTAGATGCCTCCAGGGCTTGCTATTTTTCGTAGAAGTGCCCTGCAGGACCTGTCACCAATGTCACCAAACAAGTTAGTACAATCATCCCTTCAAGTGTGCCGACCTTCCTAAGAAGGCCTAGGAAAGCAGAAGAGTTTGCAAGAGCTCCTCCTTATTTGCTCCTAACTACTCTGAGCCCTCGTCCTGCTTGGATGGTACTTTACACTGCCTTGACCCTTTGGGGACCAGCATGTGTGATCCATGACAGACAGGGTCTGAATGAGGCTGGCTGGTGGCAGTTTCGGCCAGATGGCTTCCAGACGCTGAGACCTAAGCCTGACCCTTGTCACTTCTGGTAGCCACTCCCCTCCTGACAAAGGCTGAGAGTCCTTACTAGCGTCCAGTAAGAGGATCAACGAATAATACGCCCTTTAGAACAAAGTCCCAAGATCATTCCAGGTGCTTGCCTGGCTTCGCCCTACTACGCCTGCGGGGATTCAGAGAGACCAAGGCTGGTCTGCGTTAAAGTGAAGAGAAGGTCCGACCCAGCAAACGCCTCCTACCCGACCTCGCCCTCCTCGCTGAAGTATTCCGTTCTAGGTGTCATCTTTTGTATTGCCCAAGCAGCTTGAGGCCAGTCGGCTGAGTGACGTCCAAGAAGATCCTTCAAGTCCTTCTATCTCCAGACAGTACCGTGGGTGGCAGGGGACCCCCCCCCCGGGACTCCCTCCCCCCCCCCGCCGCCAGCAGTCTACAAGCCCCTCCCTCTGAGGATGACAGCTCTCCAGCTTCTGCCCCCCCCCCCCCCGCCGCCGGCCTGGCCACGTGGGTTGGCAGTCGGACTCACCTGTTTCTTGCGGGGGGGGGGGGGGGGCGGATTCCAGGACGTACAGAGGGTGCCGGTCACTGTCTTCTGCCGCACCCGCGAAGGGGAATGGGTTTCCGGCAGGGCCTGACCTGAGGGCAAAGGCTGGCAGGCGGGCCACGACCTCGGGAGGACACGGACATGGCCACGGCGAAGCACTGGCTCTTTTTCTACCACCCCCTCACCCGGTCCCGGCGCAGGAAGACAACCTTCGCGCGAAGCCTCTCGAGGCCGAGGCCCGGCTCCAGCCAGCCGCTCCTCGCCCAGACCCAGCCCGCCCCGGAGGTGCATTGTGGGAAATGTAGTCCGTGTGGCTCGGTTGCCCGAGGCACCGCGGGGAAACTGGTTCAGGACGGGGAAGCCCTGAAGAACCTGGGGCCGCCTGGCTGCGGGAACTCTCTGGTCACCTGGAACCTTACAGCAGAAACTCCACTTCTGGCTTTTTTTTTTTTTTTTTAAATAACTCATTGGAGATAAGAGTTTCACAGATTTTGCTGCCTGGCCTGCCTTGGAACCACGATCCTCAGATCTCAGCCTCCTGAGTAGCTGGGATGACAGGTGTGAGCCACCATGGGGTGGGAGGGCGGGGTGGGGAGGGGGGGAACCACTGCTGGGACCGTGGGAGTTTAAGGGCAGATAAATGTCATCGGTGGGCTCAGCCACTCTAGCTGTGTAAGGTGTGGACATGCGCAAAAGCCATAGTACTAATTGTTGCAAACAAACAAAAAACCAAAAAACAATCTTTTAAGCCACATTTTAATATATCAGTATAAGGCTCTAGAACGTGCAGTTGGCCAACAATGTACATAAGAATGACTTGAAAGTTAAAACAACAGCAACAACACTACACTCCCTGGACACTATCCCTAGAGACTTTTATTTAATTGGATGGGTGTGGGGAAACAGGCATCAGTAGCAGTATTAGATTCTAAATCTCCCCTAGGTGACTTGCCAGGGAGAGGAAATGCTGTAATTTGCTAGATGCAATAAAACCGACAAGGAAAACATAAGGCTCTTCTAATGGTCCTTATTTTGGAAGAACAGCTTTAAGAAGCAAAATTAGGGTTAATACTATTTATATTTTCTCTGAAGCAATAACTCACTTGATAGACTTGTGGTTAATTCTCCCAACAATTCGGGAACCAGAAAGAAGGTCTGGAACTACTCTTTTGATCCTCTTTGCTGCTCCAACAACACCCAAGACCTTCTTTGCATCTCTCAATCTTACTCTGGAGGTGGTAGAGCTCTGCCATTTGGGCTTTTTCCTCCAAGACTTTGATGGTTGCCACTTGTAGTCTTCTTCCACAACACTGACATATGACTGATATTCTGACATATATGGCCTCTTTTTTAAAAAAACTGGATATGGCTTTTCATGGGAATATCAGTCCTTTGCATATGGTTTAAGGGAAATTTCCCATGTGAGAAAGTGCTCTAATCTTTAGCTATTCTTTCCCATGAAATGGAAAGAGGAGGAGGGAAGAGGAAACACTCCAGGTCATCCTATGTTTTTCCTCACTAGCTCAGGATCCCAGTTTCCTTCCTTTAGGCCTCCTGAGTAGCTAGGCTTACAGCTGTGAGCCACTAGATCCTATGCAGGCCTATGAGTTTAAATACTAGTGACATGCCTCCACAATTTGCATATGTGTCCCTAATCTTTATATTCTGAACTCTAAACTGATAAATGAACCCAACTCCCAACTAACATCTCACCTATTTCTTTGATATAATAAGTTTGAACTAGCCAGGTATAGTAGGTCATAGAATGTGGAAGGATAGAGCCAGAGGACTAAGAGTTTGAGACCTGAGCCTGGAGGCCTGGCTGAGGTAGTAGAATGCCTGCTTTGTAAGCATGAAATCCTAAGTTGAATCCCCAATATAGCAAAAACAAAAACAGAACAACAACAACAAACAACTAGACAAGAACAAAACAAAACAAACGTATAAACAAAAACTCTTGGGGCTAGGGGCTCACATCTGTAATTCTGGCTACTTAGGAGGCTGAGAGCTGAGGATTATGGTTTGAAGCCAGCCCAGGCAGAAAAAGTCCCTGTGAGACTCTTATCTCTAACCACTCAAAACCTCCAAATGGGCTGGGTGCTGGTGGCTCATGCCTGTAATCCTAACTACTCAGGAGGCTGAAGTCTGAGGCTTGTAGTTCAAAGCCAGCCTGGCAGGAAAGGCCGAGAAACCCTTATTTCCAATAAACCTCCAGAAAAGTGGTAGAGCACTAGCCTTGAGCTGAAGACCTGAGGGATAGCACTCAGGCCCAGAGTTCAAGCCCCATGACTGAGAAAAACAAAAACACCGTCCCCCCCCAAAAAAAAAACCCACCCCAAAATGGAGCTGGGTTCAAAGTGCTAGCTTTGAGCAAAAGAGCTCAGGGACAGTGCCCAGGCCCAGAGTTCAAGCACCACAATGGACAAAAACAAAAACCTTCATGTAGCCACAGGTGTCCCACACCTGTAATCCTAGCTAATCAGGAGGCTGAGATCTGAAGATCACGGTTCAAAGCCAACCTGAGCAGTCCAGAAGACTTATCTCCAATAAACCACCAGAAAACCAGAAGTGGGGCTTGTGGCTCAAGTGGTAGAGCACTAGCCTGGAGCTGAAGAGCTGAGTGACAGTGCTCAGGCCCAGAGTTCAAGCCCCATGACTGACAAAAACAAACCAACCTTCATGTTACCCAAAATTGAGCTCTTATTTATACAAAAATTGTTCCTCCTAAACTCTTGCCTCATCCCGCTCCTGATCTTACTATTGCAATACTGGCATGAACACCATCTTCTATGGTTGAACTATTCCAGTAACATCATATCGGGCTGTCCTGCTTCTGCCTTTTCCCATATTCAATGTATTTTAGACACAGCAGCCAGAGAGAGTCTGTTAATATGAAAATCATGCCACAATATTTCTCTATTTAGAGCCCTCAAATAACTTTCTCTCTCATTCCTTACAGAAACAAGACTTTTCTCCAAGGTCTGTAAAACATCGGAGGAGAGACTGCTCTTCTTACTTCTCTTGCTGTAACTCGTTCTGGTTTTTGTATCTCTTGGTTTTTGAAGCTTGGTCTTGAAAATTCCAATCATGTACACTCACCAGGGCCTTTTTCCTTTGCTATTGTTCTACCCAGAACACTCTTTCCCTAGAAATCCCAATGGCTTAGTTCCTAGTTTTCTTTGGATCTGTATTCCAAGAGCTCAGAAAGGCTAACCCTGATAGCTCTATTTAAAGTTACAAACATTTCCAGGATTCTCTGCTTCACTTACAGCATCTACAATTACCACAAAGGTTGTAACTGTATCTTGTTTAGTTTATTCTCTATCTTCAATCACTGCCCCCACTTTCATCTCAATTAGGGCATTCATTTATTACTTTGTTTATTCCTAGATCCTCAGCACCTGACATAGTATATTTGATATAATAACTGTCATACAAAGGCAAGCGCTCTACCGCCGAGCCACCTTCCCAGCCCCTCATTTTTCTTGTTAATTGGAGATAAGAGTCTTAAGGACTTTTCTGCCTGGGCTGGTTTCAAATCATGATACTTTGATCTCAGCCTCCTGAGTATTGAGGATTTTAGGCTTGAACCACTGTCACTAGCTTTTACACAGGTCTTGAATAAAGGAATGATTTAATTGCTGACAATTTATCTAAAAAGTGGAAAGGTAAGCTGGGCGCTGATGCAGCTGGTCTGTAATCCTAGCTACTCAGGAGGCTGAGATCTGAGGATCGAGGATCAAAGCCAGCCTGGGTAGGTAGGAAAGTCTGTGAAACTTTTTTTTTTTGGTGGTGGTGGGGGCTGAACTCTGGGCCTGGGCACTGTCCCTCAGCTCTTCAGCTCAAGGCTAATGCCCTACCACTTGAGCCACAGCGCTACTTCTGGCTTTTTTTCTGCTTATATGGTGCTTAAGGAATCGAACCCAGGGCCTCATGCATGCAAGGCAAGCACTCTACCACTGAGCCAACTTCCCAGCCCCTGTGAGACTCTTAGCTCCAATTAATCACCAGAAAACTGTAAGTGACTGTGGCTCAAGAGATAGACCACTAGCCTTGAGCTGAAGAGCTCAAGGACAGCAACCAGGCCCAGAGTTCAACACACACACACACACACACACACACACACACACACACACACACACAGTGGAAAAGTTTCTTTAAAGACTATTGGGTTCCACAATTTCCTTTTCCACAACAAAGTCTGTTTTGTTTTAGAATGTTTTATGAGTGTTTCTTGAAGCTGGGGCTTGAACTCAGGGCCTAGCTGCTGTCCCTGAGCTCTTTCAATCAAGGCTAGTCCTCTACCACTTTGAGCCATAGTTCTGGTTCCAGTTTTCTAGCTGTTAATTGGAAATGTCTCACAGAGTTTCCTGCCCTAGCTGGCTTTGAACCATGATCCTTCTAGCTCAGTTTCTTGAGTAGCTAAGATTACAGGCGTGATCCAGCAGCACCCCATTAAGCCTTTTTTTTTTTTTTAATCCTATATTTAATTTAGGCTACAAAATCAGGTTACCTTCCCTGAGGGCCTACTGACTTAGAAACCAAATAGCTGAGACCAGTGAACTTTTCAACAGAGTACACAATCTACCTGGAGAACTTGGAGCTGCCTGTTAGAAAACATTATCTGGGATATTCTGATGGGAGCTGTAAACTGAAAACTTTGTTTTCCAATTTTACTGATTTGCAATTTCAGTGACTTTGAAAAAATCAATCTCAGTTTGATTCATTGCACAGAGCTAGTAGGGCTCTGGAAGTTGGGTGGATTTTCCTTTATGGTTTGACTACTGAACCTTTAACATGGATAAATGATTTTCTGGATTTGAGTTGGCATACTTAAAATCTAGAAGGAAAAGGAGACAAATCTGTTTAGTGCTTCTTTTATACCTATCTGGTCTAAGATAGGGCTGTGCTGGGCTAGGAATGTAGCTCTGTATTATATCCCTAGGAAGCTTTTAAAAAAAGGGGGGGAGGGGTATTCTGTGGGTGCACAGCTAACAACCTTAAAGGGTTTAGTCCTGAAAAGCTTTCCATTTTCTTCATACGACCTGAAAATAGCCGGCCTCAGCTAAGCAGGCCGAGCTCCTCGTAGAAAATAAACGTAGACAAAACAAAGCCATCCATAAACTGTGAGCCTGGCTCAATTCCTTGACACAAGTTGACGTAGGGAAGAAGCTAAACTACAACTCCCAGCAGGCCCCACGCGCAGCGCGTCTTCCCATTGGACATCAAGGAGCAGCGTGCTCCAGCGCCCCACCCA